AAGTGACAGAGTGAGCTTTTGTGATCGCTTTTCGTCCGGCGTCCGTCCGGCGTCCGTCCGGCGTCCGTAAACTTTTACTTTAAATGACATCAGCTCATGAACCGCAGAGCCAATTTCATTCAAACTTCACATGAATGTTCCTTTGGTGGTCACCTTTAAAAATTGTTCAAAGAATTTAATTCCATGCAGAACTCTGGTTGCCATGGCAACCAATAGAAAAAACTTAAAATATCTTCTTTTAAAAAACCCAAAGAGGTAGAGCTTAGATATTTGGCATGAAACATTTTCTAGTGAGTGTCTATCAAGTTTGTTCAAATAAAAGCCCTGGGGTCAAAATTGGCCCTGCCCCAGAGGGTCATTGATTTTCCCTATATGCATATAGTAAAAACTTAAAAAATCTTCTTTTAAAGAACCCAAAGAGCTAGAGCTTAGATATTTAGCATGAAACATCTTCTAATGGGTGTCTACCAAGTTTGTTCAAATAAAAGCCCTGGGGTGAAAATTGGCCCAGCCCCAGGGGGTCATTGATTTTCCCTGTATGCATATAGTAAAAACTTATAAAATCTTCTTTTAAAGAACCCAAATAGCTAGAGCTAAGATATTTAGCATGAAACACGTTCTAATAAGTGTCTACCAAGTTTGTTCAAATAAAAGCCCTTGGGTCAAAATTGGCCCCGCCCCAGAGGGTCATTGATTTTCCCTATATGCATATAGTAAAAACTTAAAAAATCTTCTTTTAAAGAACCCAAAGAGCTAGAGCTAAGATATTTAGCATGAAACATCTTCTAGTGAGTGTCTATCAAGTTTGTAAAAATAAAAGCCCTGGGGTCAAAATTGGCCCTGCCCCAGGGGGTCATTGATTTTCCCTATATGCATTTAGTAAAAAACTTATAAAATCTTCTTTTAAAGAACCCAAAGAGCTAGAGCTAAGATATTTAGCATGAAACATCTTCTAATGGGTGTCTACCAAATTTGTTTAAATAAATAAATTTGTTTAAATAAATAAATTTTTAAACAAATAAGAGCCCTGGGGTCAGAATTGGCCCTGCCCCGGGGGTCATTGATTTTCCTTATATGTGTAAATTAGCAAAAACTTTAAAAAAAATCTTCTTTGAAAAACCCAAATAGCTAGAGTTTAGATACTAAGCATGAAACATTTTCTAGTGAGTGTCTACAAAGTTTGTTCAAATAAAAGCCCTTGGGTCAAAATTGGCCCCGCCCCGGGGGTCATTGATTTTATTTATGTGTATAGCAAAAACTTAGAAAAATCTTCTTTGAAAAAAAACCAAATAGCTAGAGTTTAGATATTAAGCAAGAAACATCTTCTAGTGAGTGTCTTCAAAGTTGTTCAAATAAAAGCCCTTGGGTCAAAACTGGCCCCGCCCCAGGGGTGTCATTGCTTTTAACTATGTGTTTATAGTTAAAACTTAAAAAAATCTTTTTTTTAAAAACTCAACGAGCTTGACCTTAGATGTTTAGCATGAAACATCTTCTAATGGGTGTCTACCAAATTTGTTCAAATAAAAGCCCTGGGGTTTAAACTGGCCCCGCTCTGGGGGCCTATATACAGGTGAGTGACTTCAGGGCCATCATGGCCCTCTTGTTTTATAATGTCAAGATTACACTAGAAGGACAAAAAATTTATTCCAGTTTTAATCATAACAACTTGCCCTAATTGTTTAGTTTAAGATCAAAGTGATAGTTTAAGAATTGTCCTGTGGACCACCATGTTGGAATTTCTTGTTGAAGCTTTATGCCATTCCCCTGTAATGTCTCTGAGTAACCGGCTGTTAAATTGTCCTTAATTAATATAGCCAGTTGGTCTTGTCCATTTTGCAATTTGATTAAATTTTCATACATGGGTTTAAACATACATGTATCTTGGTATAGCCATGACCCTTGTTCTTACTAACCTAGGTTTAGTCATATAGGAAATTGTTTATAGAATAACCCTGCCTAATATATCTGATTTCAAGACAAAGATGTGGAGACTGAGTTTCCTAGTAGTTTTTAGATTACCAATTATATCTGATTTATAAATTATGCAGAATCATTATAATAGAACTGTTATGTTGCAATGAATGTAAAAATTTAGGGTCATTTTATAATATTGCTTCTAATAGATATATTTCAGAATACATAGTTATTATTATCCAATTGTTTTAAATTCGGTCTAGGGTACTTATTTGTTCTTCACAGATAAACACAATGATTGCCAATTAATGTTGCACAACAATGTTTTTTGTGCCCCCACTTTAATGGAGTGGGGGGCATTTAGATTTACTCTTGTCCATCCGTCCATCCATCTGTCCTTCCGTTCTCATTTTGTGTCGCACATAGCTCAGAAGTATTTGACTTTGAGTTATCAAAATGTGCAGGAATGTTGATCAGCATGTGTAGTTGTGCACCTTGGTATTTTTGTGTGGATTTCATTTTATTTAGTATTTGTAGAGTTATTGCCCTTGACTTGGTAAAAATTTGCAATTTTCAACTGGTGTGGCACGTAGTTCAAAAAAATTTTGACCTAGAGTCATGAAACTTAAAAGCAATGTTGCTCAGCATGTGAAGTTGTGCACCTGGGGTTTCGCTTGTGGATTTATTTTGTTTTGTCAAAGTTATTGCCCTTGGCTTACTAAGTTATTACCCTCAAGTTTGTATAAATTTGCAATTTTCAACTTGTTCATACATAGCGCCTAAAGACCTGAAAGTTTACAAGAATGTTGGTCAGCATGTGTACTTAAGCACCTGAGGGTTTGCTTGTGGATTTATTCAGTATTTGTAAAGTTCTTGCCCTTTACTTAGTAAAAGATTTTTAGTTTTCAACTTGTGGCACATGTAGTAGCCCAAAAAATATTTGACTTAGAGTCATAAAGTTGAACAGTGGAGTGTGAGGGCACCCATGTCCTATGGACACATTTCTAGATTAAAACTTTGATATACTGTTGTCTTGTCAGCTTGTCCGACTTCTGGCACTTGAACTTACAAAACTTACATCTTTAAATCAACACTAATTGAATTTGGACATATTTGGTTACATTATCTCAGTTATACTTTAAGGAGAATGCATGATTATGAAATGAAAAACAAAATGTGCAATGCTGCAATCTTGCGCATAGTCAAGTTCGCCAGGAAAAGACGCACAAATAAAAATTTTGCTCTATTTATTTATACCCAAGCAGGCAAGTGCAGACAAAAAAGGACAAGTATTTAATTTTTCATGTCACAACTGGGATTTCTGCTTTTTTCGCTGCACTATATTCTTGAATGTTTCTACATGGGAAAGGCTTCAAATTTCATAGCTCAGTATATGGAACATCGGAACATCCATTCTTGTTTTTAAAAATTTTCTTCTTTTACTTAGGGTACACCAGCGACAGCATTTAAAGTTTGAGCTGGACATAGTACAAGGGGAAAGCAGGTAGATACTTTGGTGTAAAATCTTTTAATATCATAGTTTACATACTATCTGGAGGTTTTAAATTTTCACACAAGACTGTATGGAGGAAAACATTGTTAACAATATGTAATTGTTATTTTCAGTAGGATTAATGATGACTTTTTGTGATTTATCTGAATTTTATAACATAATTCTTTCAATTTACACCTAAATGTATGATTTTTATCATTACATAGATAAGTGTAAATTAGGATAAGAAATATTTCCTCTACCAGTAAAGCTGGAGAGTCGCCATATGATCTATGCTGTGTTGGTGCAATGTAAAAAGCAAAAAAAAAAAATAATATATTGAATAATAATTATGATTTTAAAATAAAATGATCTGAAAGGAAGTACATGGAGTACATAATTGTCAAAATTACACTGTTTAAATGATAAAAGTACACATTTTACTGCCATTCTGTAATAATTAATTGGGTAAAATACCTTAAAAATGTCATTTTTACAACTGTAAATATTATTATGCTAACATCTTGTATCCAATTAGGAAATTGACAGGTGAACCTCTAATGTTGACAGATGTTTTTTAATGTTGTCATATATATAGGTCAACCATTGACCTTTAAGTACAGAGTTCACCAGAGGTTGTTGCCTATGGACATGCTTGACACAGATTTCTGATGTCTCCAAGGGATGCAAGTCTTTTGAAAAAAAAAAAAGGACACCAACCTATTTGTAGATATACCAGACAATAATAATTAATATAGAATTATAGAATGTAATTACGTGTAATGGGAGAGTTCACCTTGTGAAGGAAGTATGTCTTTATAATTTGATACAAGATAATTATTTGTAAAATTATTACTTATGATTTCTATTCTAGAAAGACAAAAAAGGATAGTTACCCCATAGAAAATAAGCTTATTGTTGTTACCTAGATATTTCAATCAGATCCTTTGTATTTTGTACAGCAAAAGTGTAAAAAATCTAATTGCACTTAACCATACTACATGTATATGTTAATTTTTTACGTGCAGATACATGATAAATACACTTAACATTTTATTGCACAGTATTTTCTGCAAATTGCAAAGAATGAAAAAAAAGAGCACTGTTTTTTTTAATACAAATACGTTTTCAATGTTTATCCTTAATTATCATGTTTGTATTCACATACAAAAAAAAAATCAACTTCTTCAAAATACCTAATTGGGTTGATTTAACTAAATCCCTGAAAAATACCATGTTAGGATGTACTAGCCTCTAAAATACCAAAATGAAAATTAATTGTAAATACAAACAGCCAATTGTTTCCATCAACACATCTGAAGAAACTTAATTTGATTCATATCAAGTTTTGTCAGAGAAAAAAAAAAGTCACAGATTTTTCTATCAAGTGATGTTAATCTTCCATGCTTAAATGGAACTATCTTAAAGGCTTTTAAAGAAAATGGAAAGATTATAATTTTCATCCATTAAGCAGCGAACTTACTATTCTATAATATTGATAAATGCTTGAGGCAAAACCTTGTCAAAATCATAACATGGCAATTGCTCCTTTTCACCTGGCAAATTTGTGACTAAATTACAACTTCGAAGTGCACAACTTTGATCACATGACCTCTACACTGATCAGGGTTATCCAGGTGCTTGCTCTGCAGAAGACAGCTGGTCAATGTCGTGAAGGTGCATTCATGTGTGCAGTTAATTAACTCATTGTGAAATGTTGTGTTTTCTTTCAATGGTGGATAATTAACTGATCAATAAAACTTTTTTTTTTGGATTGTGAATAATTAAAGTGGTGCCTTTTTTGAAAATATCAGGATGTATATTAAGGCAGAGGTAATCTAATGGATAGTCCTAATGAAGATACAGTGGGAATAAATCCCCAGCAGATATTTGTTTTTATTTGTTATTCTATTCAAATTAATTAATTTCTTTGATGTCTGTCTTTCATAGGGGAGATGGTACTAATTAATATTGCATTAAGGATTATAGATTTACGAGTCAAGCTCACACACAATATTATATAATTTGTCTTATTTTAAATTTAATTGTATTAGAATTACTTTGTTTGTTTGTCAGGTTATTGAAGTCCCCATATTCTCTTAGCAGTCTTTTTTTTAGGGCGAAGATATCATCACACTGGGGTTTTAACAATTTACATAAAACTGAGCTCAAAACAAAGTGTTGGGCGGTACATTTTTAAAAAAAATTTGATTCAGGTTAAAATAAGACTGACTGATCAGAAACCATATGTATGACAGAAATTACAGAGAATGATTGTAGGGTCATTTGTATGGGTCATTTGAGTATCCCTGTTCTGTGTACACCAGGGTAGCCTGACATAGTCATTGTGAGGCTCGGGGCCAGAATACATTGGTACAAGTTTCCGGGCATTTGCCTGGAGTTAAGGTTTTTTTCTGCTCTTGAAAACTTTCTATATTAAACCAATTGAAATACTACTAAATTCAGAGTTTTCAGGTTTTCTGATATTTTTTAACTTGTACCCATGAAAATGTAGAACCAAAAAGCTTATTTTTGAATTACTTCACTCCGACCTATTTTACACTTTACAGTTGTCATCTTAGTGCAGTGATAGGTTAACTCTAATTAAAATTAAATAGAAATAACCTGTTACTGCACTATTTTCCTGGATATTTTTATGTACCATGTATAATAAATCAAACAAGTAATGAGAATTGTTAGAAAAATGTGCCCCAATCCCCAGAAGCAAGGTTTGCATCACATCTCTATAGAGTTACAATACAGTTTCCTACCCTTGTTTGTAATTTTGTTTGTTTGTTTTGGGTTTTACGTCACATCAACACAGTATAGGTCATATCACGACGTTGCAGCTTTACTGGTGGAGAAAGACCTCAGGTGCCCTACCATGCATTCTTTAAGGCACGAATGGGCACCTGAGTAGAACCACCGACATTTCGTAAGCTAGCTGGATAGCTTCCGCACATGAAAGAATCCAAAGTCCCTGTGTGGATTCGAACCCACAGCGGTGAGGGGCAAGTGATTTGAAGTCAACGACCTTAACCACTCAGCCACAGACGCCCCTTGTTTATAAATAATAACTATAATAGTGTAAAATCATATAGTTTTGCATTGTTAATTATTATAGTTTCATATATTTTCTTCAGATAAGTGAAGACGAGGAAGCTGATACAAACAGGTCACAGCAAGAACAAGTCTCCAGTTCTTCTGATACCAACAAAACACTAAATAAAGAGAATGACAGAGATTCTTTGGTAAATATAAAATCATAATGTTTCATTTCTTTTCTTTTATACATTCCTGCAGCTTATAAACAATACTGTACCATGTCATGTGAGCCTATACAATTTCTTGTGTACCATGTCTTGCAAAGCATGTGATACTTCAGATCATCGTACCTTTCTTTGGCACCTCTATATTTTAACTTTTGACCTTTCTTGTGATTAACAGGACTGTTAAATAGGCTGTGATTCTGAAAAAGCTTGTTTGACTTGGATTTCTTCTTTTATCAAATTTGACATAGAATGTTCAATTTCACAATTTTTTGCAAGGCATTTAGATTTAGCCTTGTCAGTCCATCCCTCTGTCTTTCCATCCGTTCGTACAAACCCAGAGGTACTTGTGTGACTTGGAGAACAATGGGTAACAGTAAATTCTCTTTGATCCTATTCATTCCGTTTTTACTTGTGTGTCTTTCTTTAAGCCTTGTATGACTTTCTTTAAGCCTTGTATGACTAAAAATAGCCAAAACGATCAAAGGAAAGTTACATAAGTACCATTTTGTGAGTACGTCCGTCCGTTCTCTTTTGTGTCACACATAACTCAAAAAGAATTTGACCTAGAGTCATGAAACTTTGCAGGAATGTTGCAGCATGTGCAGTTGTGCACCTGGGTGTTTTTGTTTGGATTTATTAAGTATTTTTAGAGTTATTGCCCTTGACTTAGTAAAAATTTACAATTTTCAACTTGTGTCGCATGTAACTCAAAAAGGATTTGACCTAAAGTCATAAAAACTTTACAGGAATGTTGATCAGCATGTGAAGTTGTGCACCTGGGTATTTTTGTGTTGATTTATTCAGTATTTTTTTAAGTTATTGCCCTTGATTTAGTAAAAATTTGCTATTTTCAACTTGTGTCGCATGTAGCTCTAAAATATTTTTAACCTTAAGGGTCATGACACTATACAGGAATGTTTATCAGCATGTGTAGTTGTGCACCTTGGGTTTCGCTTGTGGATTTATCCAGTATTTGTAGAGTTATTGCCCTTGACTTAGTAAAAACGGTTTCATAATGTTGTGTTATTTGTTCTTTGAGTTCTTGAGTTAGAATCAACCAACTTTACAGGAATAATAATCAACATCACTGTGAAGCTATGCACCTTGGACTTTGCATGTGGATTTTTTCAGTTTTGTTAGAGTTGTCCTTGACTTACAGTAGTAAAGATTTGTAATTTTCACCTGGTTCATGCATAGCTCAAAAATTATTTGACTTGTAGGCCTGAAAGTTTACAAGAGTGTTGGTCAGCATGTGTACTTATGCACCTTGGGATTTGCTTGTGGATTTATTTAGTATTTGTAAAGTTCTTGCCCTTAACTTAGTAAAAGATATTTAGTTTTCAACTTGTGGCATATGTAGTGTTATGCGTTAAATTATAGGTTCTATTGAAGGTGGATTGTATCACAACACAATGTTCCGTTTTATATTTTAATGTTTCTTTCTTAGTGGAATACCACAGATAATATATAACATATACACAGGTTATCCTGATGTTTACAAATTAATATTAAAAACAGTAACAAATATTTCTAGTGGAAAGCCACAATACAATGTTATCACTTGGAAATCCAAAATCTAACTGACTCTAAATTTTCTACATGTATCTTTACAATAATTCTAAAATTGATTTCGTTTTAACTGACCAATAGAATTTTAACATTTTTGTGTCTTAAATAACAAAATGACCAATCAGGTTTCAATACAAAATAATGTAACATAGCAACATAGAATTTATAACAACAATCATCACCTGGATATTTTATCAGTCATAAGGTTTAACAACATGATAAGAACAGACAGCTTAATTGACCTTATCACCTATATATTATAAAACTTTTAGCACAGTTGATTGGACAAAGAGGAAAAGCCGCATTTTAATCTTCCAGTTACATAATTATTAATTTGACATCTGTTATTAAAACATATAATATTTGTAACTTAACATATTTGAAATTTCACACATTGTTCTGAAAATTTGACCTTTTAGAAAATGATTATATTTATAAATCTTTGTGTTTAAAAGAAAATCATCATGCATATTTATTCATTTTTTTTTTGTAAATGAATTTTATCATTTTTCAGCTGCACAACACTTCTCCCTCCTTAAAGACTATTTCACTCCTGTGAAATGAAGCATAAATACTATAATACAAAAATAAATATCATTAAATTAGAATACTGTTTACATAAGATATTCAGTTACAGAAATATTTACTTGAATATAAAGCACCGATTTTGCTGAAAAGCGTAAGTACCATTCACTAATAATAAATATCCTAATCACTGTCTTATTGTAAACAACACAGTTTTAATGACGTCTATTTCTGCTGTATTGCCCCCTCTGTCCTTGTTGTCTTCCATGATGATATTGACCTCCTCTCCATTCATGTCCGAACCCGGTTTCGCACGCATTTGAAAGATCTTGATTTCTGTTCCCTCTTTTTCGACATAGATATTTTGTTTTGTCTTTCAACTGGGCAATTTCATCTTTCAAGGTGTGGTTTTCATCTTTCAAGTCATCTATTTGATCGTTCTTTCTTGATTCCATCATCATAATTTCATAGGCTTTCTGGTTGTGCTTCAATCTCAGTTGTTCATAGTCGTCATTTAGTTTTTTAAATTCTAATATCAGTTTGTCCATTTTCTCTAGTTTTGACGAGTCAGCCCTTAATTTTTCTTTTAGCGATTTGTTTTCTTGTAACAATGTTTCTTGAAAATGACATAATTTTGTTTTCTTGAGGGAAACTTCATTCTGCAGATTTTCGTTAAAGTCCTTTAGTCTTTGATTTTTCAAAATAAGAGCCACATTTTCTGATTTTAAACCGTGAATTGTTTTATTCATTGAATCATTTAAAGATTGTATCTTCTGAAATTCTGCTTTAGAAACGATACTCACAGAGTTGTTTGTTTGGTTCTTCTTAAAGAAGGCATCGTCTTCATTGTAAAATGGAAATGTGTATTCAGCTGTCTTGCGTCTGATGAAAGTTGTCATGCGTTCCTGATCGCGTAGTTTTGATTCGTTTGACTTTTGACTTACTGCTGGACGTAGACAAACTCGTGCAAAATGTCCAATTCTATTACATTTGTTGCATCTTGCCATTTTTGCACAACACTTCTCCTGTCTGTTATTATGATAAAGTCCACATTGTCCACATGATTTTTCGCTTCTGAATGGTATTCCATATGTGAAACTCATTGTTGTTCTTCTTGGGGAATTTGAATTCGTAGTCTCGCTTGCTAAATTGAGAGGTTGGGAAAGACACTGATCTCCGCCACGTGTTATGCGCTGAATTATGGGTTCTATTGAAGGTGGATTGTATCACAACACAATGTTCCGTTTTATATTTTAATGTTTCTTTCTTAGTGGAATACCACAGATAATATATAACATATACACAGGTTATCCTGATGTTTACAAATTAATATTAAAAACAGTAACAAATATTTCTAGTGGAAAGCCACAATACAATGTTATCACTTGGAAATCCAAAATCTAACTGACTCTAAATTTTCTACATGTATCTTTACAATAATTCTAAAATTGATTTCGTTTTAACTGACCAATAGAATTTTAACATTTTTGTGTCTTAAATAACAAAATGACCAATCAGGTTTCAATACAAAATAATGTAACATAGCAACATAGAATTTATAACAACAATCATCACCTGGATATTTTATCAGTCATAAGGTTTAACAACATGATAAGAACAGACAGCTTAATTGACCTTATCACCTATATATTATAAAACTTTTAGCACAGTTGATTGGACAAAGAGGAAAAGCCGCATTTTAATCTTCCAGTTACATAATTATTAATTTGACATCTGTTATTAAAACATATAATATTTGTAACTTAACATATTTGAAATTTCACACATTGTTCTGAAAATTTGACCTTTTAGAAAATGATTATATTTATAAATCTTTGTGTTTAAAAGAAAATCATCATGCATATTTATTCATTTTTTTTTTGTAAATGAATTTTATCATTTTTCAGCTGCACAACAGTAGTCCAAAAAATATTTTACCTAGAGTCATAAGATTGACAGAACAGTGGAGTGTGGGGGCACCTGTGTCCTATGGACACATTTCTAGTTGATTATTTATATTTATCTTTATGCCCAATGATTTATAAAAAAAAATGTAGTTGGAAGAATTAGTGCCATTTAAAGAAAAGAATAATCAGTGAATGTACACTAGTTCAGATATCAGTTACAGATTACTTTGATCTTATAATTGTGTATGACACCAATGTTGAATCTTGCTATAGAATTGTGTATGTTTAAAGTGAAGGATATATTGGTAATATGCTTTCAATTTTTAATTAAAAAAAATCATTGCATTATTAGACAAGATATTATATAAATTTGACATCTGTCAGTTATTTAGACTACTTTCTGAGAGAGTTGTTATTTTGCAAAGTATTTCTAACAGTTTACTCCTTTTGAAGAGTTTTTGCTTTTAATTGCAGTATATATCTTCTGGCTTTTACAAACTCAAGTTTAAGTGCAGAAGGAGGACAAATTTGTTCCTTTAACTGTTTATAAAATCTCCACGTCTTTAAATGAGCATGAGAGAATATTTTATTGTTTTGGCTAAGAAGTGAAAACAACCTACTTTAAAGTTTAAGTAGGTGCACTTTGAAATTGAAGTGGAATAAAATCAAACTATTGATTTGATAACACTAAGTGTCTTAAATGTGCTACTAAAAATAATACTCTTTAAAGAATGATATCTTCTGCAGAAATAGTTTAATCGAATCTAATTTGTACATAATTTTGATGAAAATATATTTAAATGGGTATTTCTCTGTTTTTAGGAGTTTTTTCAATTATGTCCTAGCAGATAAATATAAAGCAAGTTTTCCTATGTTAGTAGTACTGTCCCGTTAATGACACATAACTTCTGCAAACATTGACAGGAGTTATTTAGACTGTCCTACTCTAATATTTATTGATAGATTATTTAATAATCTATCAATATTAATTAAGCCAGGCAAGCCTGTCAAATTCCAGTATTAAGTCGGGTAAGTATATGAATTCTAGTATTAATTAAGTCAGGAAAGTATGTGACATCCAGTATTAATTAAGCCAGATAAGTATGTGATATCCAGTATTAAAGCCAGGCAGGTATTTGATATCCGGTGTTAATTAAGCAAGACAAGTACATTGTATGTGATTTCCAGTACTAATTAGAATAACTAGACTAGGCAAGTATGTGATGATCCAGTATTAATTAAGCCAGGCAAGTATGTGATGATCCAGTATTAATTAAGCCAGGCAAGTATGTGATGATCCAGTATTAATTAAGCCAGGCAAGTATGTGATATCCAGTATAAATTAAGCCAGGCAAGTATGTAATAATCCAGTATTAATTAAGCCAGGCAAGTATGTGATGATCCAGTATAAATTAAGCCAGGCCAGTATGTGATGATCCAGTATTAATTAAGCCAGGCAAGTATGTGATATCCAGTATGTTTTAAGCCAGGCAAGTATGTGATATCCAGTATAAATTAAGCCAGGCAAGTATGTGATATCCAGTATAAATTAAGCCTGGCAAGTATGTGAATTCCAGTTTAATTTTTGGTCCAGTATTAAGCCAGGCCAGTCTGCGAATTCCAATATTAAATTAGACCAACCTTTCAAACTTGGTATACAAATTGTATCAAACGTTGGTATATCAACCATGGAATACTCATGCTTTGGTATAGCAAGTCTTTTAAATCTTTGTTATAATTTAATCGTAATAATTTTTCTTAACCATTTTAATTTCTTGCTAAATATTATGGATTGAAAGTGTTTACTTAATCAAGACAATTATTTATATATATACCCTTAATATATCTATGATATTATTGTCATTTAAAAACTAGAATTTAAGCATTCACACTCATCGATGATAGTTCACTTTTTATCCTGTTTTAAAAAAAAGGTATAAATTGTACCAAATTTGAAATAACTTGTTGTGCGACGAAGTGAATCATGGATGAATGGGACAAAGGCAACAATAATTGGCCACGCGTCTGACACACGCCAGATGCAGTACTGTTTTCACTAGTACAGGGCTTGTTTAATGTACCGATCCAACGAAATTGGCCAAATATAACCATTGAAATTTTCCTTAATAGCTTTGAAATTAGGTTTTGATATCAGAAATATTTTGATAGAGTTCATAGCCATGACAAACATGGTTTAATAAAGTTAAGAAAAATCTCAGTTTCACATTCTAGTTGGTGTAAAAAAAGTGTATTTTTAGGGTGGTATTTATTTTGGTTTGGTCAGGTTCATAGCGTAAAAATTTCTTATTTATAGCTGTATTCTGTGTACATCATATTCATTATGGATTAATGAAAGAAAAATACAAATAACAGGATTTTATTAAATTGAATTTACAAAAGTTGACGTTGGAAATAAAATAGGCAGCATCGTATTATTTGGAGTGTATTGGGAAACATCTCTGTAGGGATTTTATTGGCTTTTATTTTCTGACACTGAACATCATATTGACTTTTATTGGAGTGTCATTTTTATAAACACTACCTTCCTAGAAAGGGGGTTTGAAAATTGATGGAAGATACAGGAATATAGTTTTTTAGGGACTTTGTTTAATGTGAACGGCTAAGGGCAATTAGGGTTTGTTGATTTGAATTGTGAAAAAACACTATGCTTCTATCATATCTAGAGGAATATTTAAAGTGAACAGGTGTGTACCTTTGTGTGTGTGTGTGTGTGATTTCTGTGTCATTGAGATGATTTTAAGCAAATGAGATTTTTTTTTAAATCATAATTTTGTGTATATATACAGGGACTTGTTGAAAACTGTTTTGATGGATAACATGAAGGATTAGATACAAGTTTTAATGAGAAAAATGTATCGTTAAGTTAACGGAAGTAATAAAGAATATTATGCTTATATAAAGTTATGACCTATATAACTTAACTTCTAGATTTGTTAAACTTACGTATTTGTTTAATGTGTTTCATGTATATATGAGTGGTCATTATAAAATAGTGTTATTCAACCTTTATAACAGTATTTCACTGGGCTACAACTTTTACATTGAACAATTTCATACAGTAAACAGTATGAAAGTAATGCTATTAACAAAGAATTTGGTTGTGATAGTTCCTTTGCACAAAGTTATATTTCTACAATTTTGCCTTGTTGAAAGTTTTGTTTTGTTGTTTATAGAAATGATAAAGTGAACAGTTACATTTAGGATATAGAATTATATATGTTGGTTCCAGGTGTTATGATATTGAACAGTATTTGTATGTTGGATTCAAGTATGATTTAAGTGGTACAGATATAATCAGGTTAAATGGAGCAAAACCAATTACCATTAATTATTGATTGTAATTGATGCTTTTATATGAATATTTTATGGGTTACAAATAATAAATTGTTCTTTTTTTCTGGAAGAATGGCCAGGTATACAATCAATATTAGGTTAATTAAAAGGGCAATTATTGGGTAGATGTATTCTGTTGTGATTTTCTTTCAAAGTACATTATAGTAATATTATACTGCTAATGGCATGATATCATATTTGTAAATATTTTCAGTATTTGACTGTTAGGTACAGGTGAAAAACCTGAGAATGTGTTCATGTATTAAGAGATGTGTCTAAAACAGTTTTAAAATATGCCAAAGAAGTTAAGATGAAGATTTGATGATTAAGACCTATATGGACATGACCTGGTTTTCAGTTTAAGATGTTAAAGCAGCTTGATTTAACTTTGATACCTGATTAAAGAGTTTGTGTAGGAAATAACATTATTATGGCTTAAGGTATTAGGACCCTAATGGGCACTATCAGAAACTAAAAAATTGACATCATAGGTCAGTTGTATACCTTAAAGTACATCTGTATGCAAAATTTAAACAAAGTTTACCGTACGGAAATCAAGTTATGGCTACTTTTCTGAACTCAAGCTAGGATGTTATGAGGGCCCTTTTTTAGAAATGTGAAACCTTTAAATAATCTGCAATAACATTCTAATAAAAAATGTTTTCCCATTAATTTTTGATAAGAAACAAATAGTACCATTCAGCTAACAATCCACATAAGCAAAATTATGGTTTCTACTTAAAATTTATTAAATCTGTATAAAAATGTTACCCTACCCCACCCATTTTTACCACGTGTCTGACCATTTTTCTACTTAGGGAGCCTAATTTAAAAAATTCTTAAAATTTACCCAAATGAGTGCCTGTTTTCAAATTTTCCATAAATTTTTAAAAAGGTATATTGGTTGATCTTGTAAAATATGAAATACTTTTACCGTCTAGTTTTGATTATATTACACTTTGAAAATATCAGGTACCATATTTATTACTAGATTTAGCATAATTTAGCCAATAAATACCTATATAAATTAAAAAATCAACACTTTTTTCTTTCCAAATGGGACATGAGAGAAACATAAATAATGTTAAAAGAAAAAAAGAAAGAAAGAAAAAGTTGACCCTTCTGGGGATTGAACCCATGGCCCTCATTTTCAATGTAGTTAACAGTAGTTCTAGCCTATTTGAATACTCTTCAAAGTGGAGGTAATGCATTAGGGTGCTAATACCTTAAATGTATTCACTTGCATATAATGAAGCATAAAACAAGCTGTTATGTTGATTGTAGAAATCATGCAATCCTATGTTTATATTACAATGGACTTTACTCTAATCTAAATCCTATTTCACATGTTGCGATCCATCGTGGATCACTTGAAAATAATTGTTCAATGTCAGATTTTTATTGTTTGCCTATAAAAATTAAAGATGACAACACTGTTTGTGTAAGGAATCTTTTAGGATCCATATATTAAATACTATGATTCCAAATGACCTTAATAATAAGGTATTGTTTGATTTATAAATGTATTACATGAGTGGATTTTATAGAGACATATTAACAAAGTATGATATTTAACATAATGATGATACTATGATGAAATACTATTTTGGAAATTTTGTGTAGCTTATTGACCATATTTGAAATAAATATTTTGATAATATTGAAATATTGGTGATAATATAATAAAGAATGTCCCTTGAAATCATTTATTTTTTACCATAGAGAAATTGATAGTCATATACATGTGTATATAAAATAGTAGGATAATTTAGACAGGCCAATGAAAGGCACCAGGGGATGAGACGGCAATGTTACCCAGGATTTCAGAGAGCTTAACTACTAAGATAATGCACTTGCAATTACAATGTTACTGCAGTCTATCGTTACCACACAAAAGTTTGCTTACTTAAGTTTGCTGTAAATTATATAATGGAGAGCACACAAAAAAAGAAGTCTCTCCCCAGAAAAAAATAATACTAAATTTACTTTTGAGAAAAGACTTACTTTGATTTGTGTTTATAATAATGCAAAATGTAATTTCGTCAGTTAATAGGCCTACTTTATGAAGAATGTGTACATTGTTTATTTTTCAGATGTTCCACACACCAAGTTTTGGGGAAGAAGACTATGATTTTCTTCAGGAAAAACCAGTCATTGGTTTGAAATCATCAGTTAACCAGGAAATAAGTTTTTCAGACACTGCAAATTTTTCAAATGGTTTTGATGCAGGTTTTCAAAATCTTCAGTTTTATCGCCAACAGCAACCAGCATTCCTGACGACCGCATCGCGTTCCCAGTTTACCAACAGTATTAATAATACTCAGTCTGGTGGCTGTAGACCTGCACAGCAGCAACAGCAACAACAACAAACATTACAACAACAACAACAATCATTACAACAACACATCTATGATTTAAAATCGTCGGCACAACATAATCAAAGACTATACCAAATGGCGTCTCAGCGTGATTCCATATTTGAATCTTTGGAAAACATTACTCCAAAATTTCCACCGCAGGATGTGGACATACCGGACATTAGTTCTGCTAATGGAATCGAGACCACAACATCTGCGTCTGTTATGAGTTCAGGATTTTCTGCCAGTCACATGTACGGACAATCAAACATGAATACATCCCCAAGGACGCACCCGGACATCGGCATGCACGCTACTTCTCCAGTGAGTACGATCAGACCGCAAAGTGTTACGACAATATCACCCACTAGTTCTTCTGTATCTAACGTATCAAATGTAACTCCACCAATGGAGAGTAGTGAAGATAGTGATGACAGTGTACCACTTGCTCAGGTGAGAATTTAAGATTAACTTAAGATATTCAGGGCCAGTATTTTTTCAACATTTACAGGTGCTCTCTAAGGTAACTGGTTGATCAAATATTAGTGTTTCATAATAATCATTAATGTTTTGGCAAATATATGTCACAAAGATTCATATTAGTTTTAATTCAATTTTTGATTAATTGTTTCACATTAAACAAAATGCCATATCCTTAACTAATACTAATAGTTTATTGCAAATAGTATATGTCACAACTTAATGTGATCTCACAATCAATTAATGTAATTAATTTATTTTGTCAATTAGCGTTTTTGTATCTAATGTGATTTCTAAGATAGCCTTATAGGAAGCCATTCTGCAATGTTTCTATCAATTAACTAGAGTTACTTAGATTTTTAAAATGCTGAACTGTTGATGAATATGTACACAGATACTTTTATTCAACATCCACAGTAAAGAAAACTATTTTTCACTCATATATAAAGGTTTCTCTTCTTTTGTTCCGTGTAGTGCAAAAATATAATTGCAAAACAGTTGTATTGATGTCTTGTTATTTGCATCAACTCTTCTGTCGATTATATACTTTGTAAGATTTTCAGTTTATGTATCCCTTTTCCCCGGCTTTTATTTAACAACAATTGAAAAGTGAAACATAAGACGTCGACATGTTAAGTTTATTCTATATAAGGTCAATGTTTTATTCAATTGTTGATTCAAATCTTTTACCTTGATAGAGTATATAGAAGACAGACTGCAATGATGTATGCAAAAATTTCATCTCATCGAAAAATAGAACAGTATGAATTGTCATTGATTTTTAGCTGTTTATTTTACAATTTTTGATATAAAAAACAAACAATAATTGCTTTTATAGGAAATATTTTGAATTAACCCTTCTTCAATGTAAGTCAATGAGATTTTAATTGAATATACCTTATCAAATCAATATGTCATACGATGTAAAACATTTCAATCAAATCATTTTCTTTTCCTTCTTATAAAAGTGCATTAGAAAGTAATTTCATTTAATTGCTTATTGTTTGATCTGACAGCCAATGCAGAATTGTGAAGCAGGAATTTTTTCTGTATGACAAAGATGATATTGTTTGATCAACAGATGTTAGACAAAGCCATGAGCTACATTAGTACAAAATGATACATTGTCCATATAAATTATTTCAGAAACATCCATTATTAATCCATCAAATTGAAGAAGCTTATCATTTATAGACATCAGAATATTGCCTCTGTAACATCAAAGACAATGATTTGTTCAAGTATGACATGCGTTCTGTTCATAATTTTCTATGATTTTTGTCATGTATTAAACAGGGGTCAGCATTTTGACCTCATTTGCTGCCAGTGAGAAAATAATAAACGAAGGTGTTTTAATTATTGTTTACCTGTCAGGTGTCTGTCTATATTCCTGAACTTTTGCAATTGACAGAATATGACTGTTTGTGTTTGTTTTTTGTTGTTGTTTTTTTTAATCAAAATAAGTGTAACATTGATGTGTTATGATAAGGTTGTCTTAATATTTTGCTACTTTACTTTAATTAATACTGTACTTGTTAAATTTAAACAAAGAATGACAAGTTAGTGTCAAAACTCACAAGAAGGATTACTTGGCAGCAGCTAATTTGTAGATTGCTTTTATTTAATCCCTTAATGCTAATTTTGTTAATTCTAAATCATCCTATAGTAATTAGCCAAGTCAACCAGTAGTGACAGTACATTTTTACAGTCTGAATGTATACAGTCAATTTAGCATAAGGAGCCAGGTTATAATTTAAGAGCCAGGCTGTGCATAAAGAGTCAGGCTGAGCATTAAGAGTCAGGCTGAGCATTAAGAGTCAGGCTGAGCATTAAGAGCCAGGCTGAGCATAAAGAGTCAGGTTGAACATTAAGAGTCAGGCTGAGCATAAAGAGTCAGGCTGAGCATAAAGTCATGCAGAGCATTAAGAGTCAGGCAGAGCATTAAGAGTCAGGCTGAGCATTAAGAGTCGGGCTGAGCATAAAGAGTCAGGCAGAGCATTAAGAGTCAGGCTGAGCATTAAGAGTCAGGCTGAGCATAAAGAGTCAGGCAGAGCATTAAGAGTCAGGCTGAGCATTAAGAGTCAGGCTGAGCATAAAGAGTCAGGCAGAGCATTAAGAGTCAGGCTGAGCATTTAAAGGCCAGGCTGAGCATTTAAAGGCCAGGCTGAGCATAAAGAGAATAATCATTAAGTGCTAGATCATTATTAAGAGTCGGGCTTAGCAGAACCAGGTTAGTATGCACATCTGTCCAATCTGAACAGACTCTATAATTAAATGTACTAGTAGCTACTTTATTTTGATACTGATTAATGGGTAGTACCAAATTAAATATGCTTGCACAAATTCAGCAGCATATAGGGTTAAATTAAACAAAACACAGATGTTGCAAATGAAATTCCGTAACACTACAATATTTTCATACATTATCAATCATAATAATGAAATAAATATCAACCTATAAATTGGTCACTCAATAAACATTACTAAGCCAGTGAAACAGTGTGGCCATCAAAGATCTATTGATATTGATTTGGCCCTAGTCAATAGTTTCATTACTTTATTTGGTCAATAGTAATTTTCCCAATGCTTAATAGCTACTACCATATACAAAATATAGTTAACTATTATGGCAGTTAGTCATCTATAAGGTGATACATCCATCATGATTTGTAAATACAGTCAAACATGTAAACAAAGGCCCTATAAGGGAGAGATCAAATATGACTTTTGTTGGCAAGTGGGCTTTATTTGGAGGTTATTTTGTTCTTTTTAATCAATGAGGTGTTTGATGCCCAGACAGTATTAATGTGAAGGTCTGATGGACTTCTTTCACAAATTATTATGTTCACTTGACCATATTTTCCAATTATAACAACCATTCCACCAGAAAATAAATATTCCCATTAAAACACTTACAAAATGGGTGTTTTGAAAGTTAATCAACTTTCTCAGCATATGTGAAAAAACATTTACCAGATTGAAAGCAAACTACAGCAACAATTTCATTTAACAAAGTTTTGATTAGATGAACAAAGAGGTTTGATTTCATAATATACATGTACAAGCATTAGTATTGAGGAAATACTTTACAAGGTATTTAGCTATGAAACTTCCAGAAGAAGCTGTTTACAAGTACATGTATAAACTTAGTTACTAATTGTCTTCTTGATATGAAGATGAGAGAGATTCTTTTCCCCTCTATATTGACTTGACATTTCAGTGTCATTCCCGTTTTGACATAAATTCTGAGTAATTTTTCCCAAATGATTAACTTTGGCTTCATTTAAAGTGCAGAATAGGCAGAGATTGTGAGTAATATTCCTTTGACTCTAACATTGTAACAAAGTGCCTTTGATGTTAAATTTGTTATTTCTTTATAATTGAAAATGCTATGGGTATATACATGTATATATTATCTGTAGTAATAAGTACATCTTTATGATGGTCTCTGTAGATTAATATTATATTCCCATTAATAGAAATGTTATAGGAAACTAATATTTATTTTTCTGTTTCACAAAAACATACATTCAATTAGAATGATTGTGTTAAAAGGGCATAGGAAGGCTATTAAGGACGAACACATTCATTATACGCAGTTCAAACGAGGGCAGTAAAATATAGAGAAGAGTTTGTAACATCACTGTCCAATTTTGTTCATCAAATTTTATTTCATGCTTTCGAGTGTTTTATTGTAATATATCAGATGATTATGTTCTGATAAACCACTAGTGAAATTTATAAAATATAATTTTCACTGTAGCCGGACTATTTCTGAATGTGGATGAAAAGAAAATCATAACGAAATGGAATAACAGGCAGAAATAAATGCTGTCATGCATGAATTTTGCTTCTTTAGGAAAAGAAAGTCGATGTCACCGTACATCATGTTAAAAATGTAACAAAATTAGAGAAATTTAACAGAACTATATTTCAAAATTAATGATGTGACGTCATGATGTGATGACGTCACAAAGGAGAATGCGCGACGTTATGCGGCAAAATCAGTAAAAAATACTTGAAATCACTTAAAAGCATGAAATAAAAAGAAAATTTATTTGTTTTACATATAAGATTGAAATATATTTCATCCGTGAACACCAGCTATTATATTTTCACTCGTGGCTACGCCACTCGTGAAAATATTGCATCTGGTGTTCACTCAGTGAAATTATATTTCAATCTTACATGCAAAACAAACAAATATCCTCTATATAATACACTGATAAAATGATATTTGCTTTTAGTGGCAGAGATTGAAGAACTATTTTGTTGATATTTTAACATTCTTATATTTAAGTGCTAATATCATGTTGTTGTACAAGTGTTATATTCTAGGTACAAGTATTATAGCAGATAAATCTGTTCCCTTGTCATGATCCAGAAATCATAGAGGTTGCCAAAAATTAATGAACTTTCTTTAAAACTGCAATTTTAGCACTCTTTATTTCACACATTTTTGGTGTAGGTCAGATAGATTGAAGATTAAAGTCATCAACTTTAGAAAAATATACTGTATCCGGGATTTGAACTTTTTACCTGGAGGTCTGCTAGTCTAAAGGTTACTCTGTTTTGCTATATAACAATATACCGACGGCGAGGGTAAATAGTCCCAACATACATGCATATATAAACGTGTGTAATTGTGTGGGTCTATAATGAAGTGTTAAAAAGATTTCAAGATGTTAACTCCAATATTAACTCCGAAACTGCACTAAATTAAGGTGACAAAATTTTGAAATATGAATTGATTTTAATTGAGTTCTTTTAAGCTTTCAAATTATAATGGTTCAATTTTCCCCCTGTCTTAAGTTCTGCATGAGTGGCATACAATTTAGTTATGACATGTCCATTGCCATGGTAACAAATATGGCAGACAACACCTGGACTTCAAAAAGATGCAGATTTTTTTCACACCTGCAGTGCAAGGCCTATTAACATTTTGTTCTGTAAATACTAAAGACAAGAGGTAACCATCAATGTTCTCACATTTCATTTTATCATCCGAATTAGTTAATTTATAGGCTTTTTGAAAATAAACATTTTATTTTGCAAATTGGATCTGTTTTTTAACCAACAATGGTTTCAGTTATTTTCTTAAAATAAACTTGTTTTTTAATCAGTCATATACAGAAGGTTCAATGTTTAGTTGATTACTGCTCATTTAAAATAATGACAAATGAAACTTGGTAAATAAGTATTATGTAGTAATTGTTACTTTTGTAAAGAAATATGTGTGTTGAAAATGAATGATAGATTATACAGTCAAATATCTCATGTCACATTTTAATCCCCTGCTGCATAGTGAAGTGGCGATATTAGGAATGGTCTCATTCTGTTATAATGTCCATCTGTCCATCTTCCGAGCTTTATTATAACATTAAACTTAATTTCTTATACTGATTTTTAGAACTTTATTGATGCACTATTAAACATGTATATGATGTATATAAAGTTTATCAACAAAGTTTGCTGATCTGTCATTATAGAAACATCAGCATGTATGTCCTGATAGTTCCGTGAAAACAAAATTCCTAGAATATCATTTGCCGTAAAATTCGCCATATTTCATATTGTTTGTTGTTTTTTTTGTTTTCCCTGATCAATATCTTCTTATAATCAGTTTTATGAACAGAAAATTATGTTTGAGAGGTTGTCATTTCATCTGATTTAGATGATAATTTGTGAAGAATAGGGTAAAGAAACGCATGTTTTGTTTGCAAGATGTTCCCGAAATCAGAAGTGATGTTTGGAAAAAATTTAATTTACTGTCTCCCAGTTCTATGAAGTTTTCTGTGAAATTTCTGACATTTATTGTTCCAAAATAATATCTGTTTGCATAAACTAAAGCAAGGACTGAATTTATTTTGAGAGCTAGTCATCAAAATTAAAAAATAAATCATTCTGAAATGTTAGGATTGGTTAGTCGTTTTTAGTTGTTTTTGTTTTTTTTGTTTTTTAAGGATAAGCTGTTTAAGTTTTTAAAATAAGTTAAAATATTTAAAACGATTTGTTTATTTAGTTTTAACTATTAACATGCAGATGGTGCTGAAATTTTGTTATGGATTTGCATTGCTTTGAATTTTGAGCAGTCTGTTTCAAGTTTAAAGCCATCTGATCATGGTCTGCACTGTTCATTATTCAGTCAGTACATACTTAGAAATTTTTCCTAAGAAATAAAAAATTATTTTGTCAGATTGAAAGATGGACAAGTCAATTTAAGCGATTTTAATTTTAGCTTTTGATGGGTAAAAAACCATTTGAGCATCGCCATGATAAAACCAACATAGTGTGTTTGCGACAAGCATGGGTCCAGACCAGCCTGCGCATCCACGCAGTCTGATCAGGGTCCATGCTGTTCGCTATCAGTTTCTCTACTTGTAATAGGGTTTGTAAGCGAAAAGCTTGGATCCTGATCAGACTGAGCGGATGCGCAGGCTGGTCTGAATATTGTATAATATTATGAAAAGAATAAAATATTCAAGAAAAAAATATATAGCGGTGATATTTAGTAGTAGTGGCTATAATTTCACGCCCACTTGTGATAAAATATATTGACAATTTTATTTCATCCTAGGTGTAATCATTTTAATCACAATAGAAACAATGAAACATTGATTGTACAATCCACAGATGGTAAATATATAGCTTTATACTATATGAATTCTAGTTTGTATTACTCACCAAGTTTTATGTGCGTTTTATCAAATAATCGTTGTTATTATTACAGTTGGTAAAACGACAAGCTCAGGATGAGATCCCTACACCATCGAAACCAGCACCAAAACCGGCCGGAGTAAAGAAATCTAGAATGCAAAAGAAAAAGAAGAAGAAAGATCCAAATGAGCCGCAAAAGTGAGACTTGATTATTTCTCATACTATAACATTATCATTATGATAAACTTTAATAGAAATGCTTTTCACATAGCAATTTATTACTTCCTCTGGCCGCCATTTTTAGGGCCATTCTCAATGTATATATCATAATTATGCTTAAGATAAAATAAAAATCTCATAATTTTTCTTTCAAAATATGTACTTACTGAATACTGAACAGTGCAGACCATGATAAGACAGCGGGGACATGCTAGCTGATCTTGGTCTGCACTGGTTGCATAATTGTTGTAAGGGGGGTATACTGGAATCAGCTTGTCCGTCCGTCCGGCTGTCCGTCCGTCCGGCCGTCCGTCGGTTTTTTCTTGTCCGCCCAATAACTTAAGAATCCTTTGACCCTTAGTCTTCATATTTGGCATGGAGGTTAGTCATGATTAGTAGATGACCCCTATTGATTTTGAGGTCAAAGGTCAAGGTCACAGGGGCCTTGACTTCAAAAAGCTTGTCCGTCCAATAACTCAAGATTCCTTTGACCTACAGTCGTCATATTTGGCATGGAGGTTAGTCATGATTAGTAGATGACCCCTATTGATTTTGAGGTCACCAGGTCAAAGGTCAAGGTCACAGGGGCCTTGACTTCAAAAAGCTTGTCTGCCCAATAACTTAAGATTCCTTTGACCCATAGTCTTCATATTTGGCATTGAGGTTAGTCATGATTAGTAGATGACCCCTATTGACTTTGAGGTCACCAGGTCAAAGGTCAAGGTCACAGGGGCCTTGACTTCAAAAAGCTTGTCCGACCAATAACTTAAGATTCCTTTGACCCACAGTTTTCATATTTGGCATGGAAGCTAGTCATGACAAGTAGATGACCCCTAGTGACTTTGAGGTCACCAGGTCAAAGGTCAAGGTCACAGGGGCCTTGACTTCAAAAAAGCTTGTCCGCCCAATAACTTAAGATTCCTTTGACCCACAGTCTTCATATTTGGCATGGAGCTTAGTCATGATTAGTAGATGACCCCTATTGACTTTGAGGTCACAGGTCAAAGGTCAAGGTCACAGGGGCGTTGACTTCAAAAAGCTTGTCCGCCCTATAACTTAAGATTCCTTTGACCCACAGTCTTCATATTTGGAATGGAGGTTAGTTATGATTAGAAAATGACCCCTTTTGATTTTGAGGTCACTGGATCAAAGGTCAAGGTCATAGGGACTTTGACTTCAAAAAGTTTGTCCACCCATTAACTTAAGATTCCTTTAACCCACAGTCTTCATATTTGGCATGGATGTTGATCATGACTATAAGGTGACCCCTATTGATTTTGAGGTCACTGGGTCAAAGGTCAAGGTCACAGGGACCTTGACAAAAAAAAGCTTTTCTTCTCAATTGCTAAAGAATGTCCTGTCCGCAATGTATTGATTTTGACTTTTTCACATTTGAAGCATGTAGAATACATAACTTAGCAATGCACTGGCTTAGTAACCTCAGATTTGGCAGGGAGGTTGTCCTTGAGCTCTAAATGGCCACTGTTGATTCTGACAAAGTTGTATGCGGGGGTATTCACGCCATCATAGTGGCAGTTCTAGTTAGATTCAGTCATGGCCAGGAGGCAGAGATAACTCGAGTTGTTCTTAATTTGCCTTATCAATTTTGAGTTCACTCTTTTGGACTGCTTGGGGTATTCATAACATGACTTGAAGAACTCTAATTTCACAGGCATTGAAGAAGTTTGGATAAAACATGTTTTTGAATTTTTTTTATTTTTTTTAGTAAATATTATATTGGTCTCCAGATACAAATCTATGTAAGATTATGTACATATTTATAATGATATTGTTCTGCCATTTTGTTGTTCTTTTTAATGTTTCATAAATGATGTCTATTTTAGGCCAGTGTCAGCATATGCCTTGTTTTTCCGGGACACCCAAGCAGCCATTAAAGGACAGAATCCAAATGCAACATTTGGAGAAGTTTCAAAGATAGTAGCCTCTATGTGGGAAGGTCTCGATCCAGATCATAAAAATGTAAGTACTGGTTTGTGAGTAGTTTTCAAAGAACAAGGGACAGAAGTACTAAAGTTGTTGCATTTGCTGGCTTATATTTCTAAGAAATTTAGGTGTGAATAATTACATAATTGAGCCACGTCATGACAAAACCAACATAATGGGTTTGCGACCAGCATGGATCCAGACCAGCCTGTGCATCTGCGCAGTCTGATCAGGCTCCATGCTGTTCTCTTACAAACCCTATTATAAGTAGAGAAACTGATAGCGAACAGCATGGATCCTGATCAGACTGCGCGGATGCGCAGGCTGGTCTGGATCCATGCTGGTCGCAAACGCACTACGTTGGTTTTATCGTGACACGGCTCATATATGAACCATTATTTTAAGTTTCGGCCAGTCTGCAATGTCACATCATATTTTATACTGGTTGCAGCTTAATTCCTACATTTGGCACTGAGCTCCTTAAAATTAGCAATGGATAATTCAGTTAAACTCTTCAAGAAAAACATGATCATTACACATAATTGGTAAGTTTCAAAAAGACTTCCTTTACCTTAAAGGCCCATTAAGCCTCAAAATTGCTTTTATTTTTCAAAACCTTATTATTTCCGATGTCCTAGTACAGTTTTCTGTTACTCATTAACCATATATCTGAGCCACCTATTGCTTCTTTTGCATTTTGGCAATCAGTACAATATAGTGATATAGTATTTTGTATGAAAGTCAAAATACTTCTTTGTTTACATTTTGCAACATTGATCATAAATCATTTGACATTTAACATTAATTTTCTTTAGGTGTTAAGCTTTCAAAATGTTAATGTCTTTTATTACAACATTAAATAAATTACACCCATTCTACAGAAGACCAAAAATAACGTTGGTGGTTCTACTCTGTGTCCATTCATGCCTGAAATACTGCACAGAAGGGCACCTGAGGTCTTCCTCAACCAGTAAAGCTGGAAAGTCGCCATATGACCTTTACTGTGTTGGTGCAACATAAAAATCAACAACAATTAAATTTAATTACAGGCATAAAGTGCCTTCAAAATAAACAATATTTTATTGTAAAGCATTCTGATGGAATTATTCCTATTATAAAACAGATAAATCATATCATATAACTCATTATGGTGAATTTTGATTTCATTTTATATTGCGGCCCCTTGAGACTCATTACAAATACTGTAAAATGTAAAATTCATGCATTTTAAATGTTCTGTTATATGAAACATAGTGAAATAGAGGCATCGAAGTGCTACCTGGATCTTATAATGGGATTATATAACAAGATTTATCATTGATATTATATCGCCTTTAATTTCATTTAGACCTTTTATGATGCTCATATTTTATGCCATTGAAGTGGCACTTTAGAATTATTGTACAGATATAATGAGATTGGTTTGAGACTGGAGATCAGAGCAAAAATGTAACTAAAAAAAATAGTATCAATGTTATGGAGGATTAAGTTAAACTTTCACAAATATTGTAGGCATAAGTGACATTGTAATTTTTCTATAAAGGCCCATTAAGCCTAAAACATGCTATCAATTTTTTTTTTTCAAAGTTTTTAACCAGGTTTTCCGAAGGAAAAAACTGGTTATTAGATTGAGGTATGTCGGCGGGCGGGGCGGCGGCGGGCGGATGGGCGGACGGGCGGGCGGGCGTAAACAATATCTTCTGTGCGCAACTCCTCCTACATTTCTCAACGGATTTTGACCAAACTTTCACAGAAGCTTTGTCATCAAGTGCCCTGGCGCATATTGTCGGGGTTTTGGATTAGATAATATTTGACCTAATTATGGCCCTTTGTTTTTTTTTCCTTATATAGAATATTATAGTGAACAATTCTTCTGTGCGCAACTCCTCCTACATTTCTCAAACGGATTTTGACCAAACTTTCACAGAAGCTTTGTCATCAAGTGCCCTGGCGCATATTGTCGGGTTTTTGCGATTAGATAATATTTGACCTAATTATGGCCCTTTGTTTTTTTTTCCTTATATAGAATATATAGTGAACAATTTCTTCTGTGCGCAACTACTCCTACATTTCTCAACGGATTTTGACCAAACTTTCTCAGAAGCTTTGTCATCAAGTGCCCTGACACATATTGTCAGGGTTTTGCAATTGGTATATATTGGACCTAATTATGGCCCTTTGTTTTTTTTCATTATAGAGAATATATAGTGAACAATTTCTTCTGTGCGCAACTCCTCCTACATTTCTCAACGGATTTTGACCAAACTTTCTTAGAAGCTTTGTTATCAAGTGCCTGGCACATATTGTCGGTGTTTTGTGATTGGATAATATTTTACCGAATTATGGCCCTTTGTGTATTTTTTCCTTACACAGAATATAATAGTGAACAATTTCTACAGTGCGCAACTTCTCCTACATTTCTCAACGGATTTTGACCAAACTTTCACAGAAGCTTTGCCATCAAGTGCCATAGCACATATTGTCGGGGTTTTGTGATTAGATAATTTTTTACCTAATTATGGCCCTTTGTTTTTTTTCCTTATACAGAATATATATAGTGAACACTTCTTCTCTGCGCAATTCTGTGCGCAACTCCTACAATTCTCCAGGGATTTTGACAAAACTCTCGCAGAAGCTTTGTCATCAACTCTTGCTGCATGTTGTCAGGGTTATGAGATTTGATAATGTTTGACCTAATTATGGCCATTTATTTTTTTCCCTTATATAGAAATATATTGTTTTGTTCCATATATAGAATATAAAGTGAACAAATTCTTATTTGCACACCTCTTCCTACAAACTATTTTGACAAACTTTCACAGAAGCTTTCTCATCAAGAGTCCTTGTGCATATCATCGGGGTTTGTGATTTTGGGTGGCGGGCGGGCGTTCACTTTAAAATAAATGCCCCTGCATGACAAAGCTTCTGTGAAATATTTTGCTGAAAACCTGGTTGCATCGCATTGCGATGTTCCTTGTTTATTTTTGGTGTTCTGTTACACTTTCCAAAAATGCCATTTATTTGACAATCTTTGCTTCTTTTGCATTTTTGCAGTTAAAACGGTAGTCATACTGCAATGCTTTCGCGCCAAAAATTTTCTGACATCGACCAATATCGTAAAAAAATCGGTCATTTCCAGCATGTTTTTTTTTCACAATCTTCGGTTTTCAATAATTTTTAACTGTTGATAACTGGAATTTAGTACATAGCGATAAAAGATGATTGATGTAAATGATCTAATGCCCAAGATTTTGAGAAAAAAAAAAAAAAAAAAATTTGGAAATAACCGATTTGCTACAATATTGGCTGATGTTATTTTTTAATGCTCCCCGAAAAATTTCGGGGGAGCATATAGTCATAGGGTTGTCCGTCCGTCCGTCAGTCCGTCCGTCCGTACGTACGTACCGAATTCGTGTCCGGCCCATAACTTCCTTATTTGAAGTCAGATTTTTAAACTATTTCACAGAAATGATCACCATATTAAAATGGTGGTCGTGCGCAACATTTGGCTCGCTACCTTGAAGGTCAAGGTCACAGCATGACCTTGCAGCAAAATTGTGTCCGGCACATAACTTCATTATTTGAAGTCGGATTTTACAACTATTTCATAGAAATGATCACCACAATGAGACATTGTGTCGCATGCAACATTTGGGTCGCTACCTTGAAGGTCAAGGTCACGGTATGACCTTGCAGCAAAATCGTGTCCGGCCCATAACTTTGTTTCTGGAAGTCGGATTTAACAACTATTTCACAGAGATGATCACCATATTGAATCGACGTGTCGCATGCAACATTTGGGTCACTACCTTGAAGGTCAAGGTCACAGCATGACCTTGCAGCAAAATAATGTCAGGCACATAACTTCGTTATTTGAAGTCGGATTTTACAACCATTTCACAAAAATGATCACCATATTGAGACAATGTGTCGTGCACAATATTTGGGTTGTTTTTACACTTTGAACTTTGTCTGTGACATAACTCTGACACAACAAGAGGTATACCTTCCTGTGTCCAAAACCTATTCGGGGAGCATCACCTGGTTCAACCGGCTCTTGTTTTTGGCGGGAAAGCATTACAGTAAGACTACCTTAAATCAACATGGGCCACTATGCTGTATGGTGACCATAGCAAGCAGTATAAAAATAGCCTAGCAAGCTCATATGTGCAGTCCAACTTTGCTTTATACTTTTGAATGCTCAATTTGAAGTATCTTGCATCATGAACTGTTACTGAATACCGTGATACAAAATGAGCAGGGTGAAGTGTTGGAGACCAGCAATCATTTCTATCTTGATAGAATTATACTTCATGTTATTTTTTATTTCCATGGAATCCATTCCTATGTCACCTTTCAGTTGTGCTTCTTTATGTGTTAGTTTTCACATTTGTTACTTTTCAGTTGTGCTACTTTGCATGTTACTTTTCAGTTGTGCTACTTTGCATGTTACTTTTCAGTTGTGCTACTTTTCGGTTGTGTTACTTTTCAATTGCGTAACTTAAATATGTGGTAAATCCATATATATTTTACTCCTGCATTATTGCATAGACAGTGGAGGCACAGTATTAAAACAATTTAGATTTCTATCTTGAATTTAGATGCAAGACATACCCCTTTAATCATCATTTCATTTATAGAGCATTGTATTTCTTCTATAAAATATTAACTACATACTTGATTGATTACTTTTCCATTAGATATAGATGAACATGGAAATGTTCTTGATTATACAGATTACACTGGCTTTGAAATTGATGAAATCAGTCCATTATTAATGAAATAAAGCTTTCCCAGCATGTAAGATAAGAAATGACAGGTTTTTAGTGTTGTTGTTAAAAGCGCATTCATTTTGTTGTGGTGTTAGGAAATCAGATTGTTATTTTAGAAATTAAAAGGTGCTTTGTTGTAACAGCTAGATTGAGTTATAAGTAGGTAAAATTGTGGTAAAAAGTTGTAAGGTTACAATAAAAGGTGAAGTGTGGTAAAAATCTGTAAAATGTAGGTGACTTGCTGTAAAGTAGGTGCATTGTTGT